CCTTTCTCCCGCTTCGCGTTTGTGTGACGGCCCATCGGGATAACCTCCTTTCCGTGATCGCAGGACGCGCAAAACTTCGGATATTGCAAACAGGGAGAGACTCACTTGTATGTGTGTACGAGTGTGGTGAAATTTTCGGCTCGAGTTACGCTCTCTGCTGCGATCACCATCAGGAAGTTCTCTCACTCACTCTCTGTGTCGTGAGAGATTGCGCTTTGGATCGGAGTATCGAATGTATTCCTCGTTTGTTTTGGCGTTACTTTTCGTATTATACAATTGTACGCTTCGACTTTTGTTTTACATCTTCGATTACTTATTTCTGTGAGTTTTCATAATACGTCAGTGTAAATCGATTGTTTGCTGAAATTTTATTGATTATTTCACGATTAACTGGATCTGATAAATAGTTGTTGAGCTCATTTAAAAGTCATTCTGTGTCTATTGCAAAAGCGTTGAAGCTCAAAACATACAGTTTGCAATTGGTGAAAAGTAGCGCTACTGAAAATAAAATCACCTAAGGACCAATCGATAATAAAAATAACTACCGAAAAAATAAATTGCCTAGATATCCCTCCGACAATGACTTGCTTCGACGCTCATAAAAAGGCACCGAGCCAACGTAAAAAGAAGCCTCGCTCAATCGACGAGAGAGAGAAAGAGAGAGAGAGCTTTTATGCACTCGTTATGAGTTAGGCGCCAGCCGTACGTAACTCGACGCGCTATACGAGCGCGAAACAAAATCGAGCTGAACTCTAACTTTCCTGCTGATTAAATCGCTTATTGAAGCTCTCGTGGTGCAACGCCCTCGCGCCGTGAAAGCGCGCTCTGCGGCTGCTGCTGCTGCTGCTGCTGCGATCAATGCTATGGGCGTCGTCGTGGGCTTCTTCGTCTTCTTCTTCTTCTTCTTTTTTCCGTCCGATGTCGTCATTCGTGCTTGGCTGTCTTATGTTCTTTCTTTAGATTAGTTTCCCGATTCGACGGTCAATTTTAAATTGTAGTTTTTCTTTCTTTTTGAGAGTTTTAAATTCTTGAAACACGCGCGCATCAATATTAACGAACAACTTCACTAAGGTTTCAATAATTTTCAAGATTCTAAAGCAGTTGAGCTTTGGTCGCTCGTCAGTTTTTCTCCGATACACGCGCGCGATACCTTTGGCTGAAAATCAGCACACCAAGGACCCTAGTATCACGTGGAAATTTCCCAGATATTCTTGCAAACGAGATAACTTTCGGCTGTGACCGCGCCAAGACTCCGCCAAGCTTTCGTTAATCCATTTGGCACGCATGCTCGAAAAAAAGACCTATTCGCAATCTCAACGACACTTGAAACGTCTCTCGAGAGTGTATTAGCCCTCGACCCGTACGAAAGCTCTTGCGAGGTGGCGCGCGTTAATCGAGCTATATAGGACGGCGGCGCCGAACGATGACCGATCGTTACGCTCGTTCTGCCTGCGCTGCACGAGGCGTTAATTGGAACGAATTGGGAATTGTTTTTTTTATCGAAACTCGTTACAGTCGTTATCATCCGGTCGAGATCAATTGGATCGTTTTATTTTCTTCTGTTAATTAAATTATAGAGATTACTCGTCAAAACTTTATCTGTAAAATACAAGGAAAACGCGAATTAGCTAGCGTCCTTTTATCCAATTCAGTGGTTCGTTTCGACGGTGTACCCCCGAAACCGCCTCGTGTCTATTTTTAGAAAAGCTCGCCGCGCGTCTTGGGAAAGCCCTTGCCCCCTTCCTTCGTACGTCGCGCGCTAAGCCAAAGTACACAACGTCTCTTAGTACGTTTACCAACCCTCTCTACTGCACACGCTTTCATGGAGCTGTTGGATATATATAAAGCACGCCGAAAACTGGCGCCTTGTGCGTGACTAAATTGAAGAGCCAACTTCAGCTGTTTGTTTTTTTTTCTCGGATCATCGATTTATTCTTGTAAATATTGAGTTTATATACGTTATCCAATGTACCCGAAAAACTTTCATAAATTTCCTTCCCACGTAACAATCCTCTCACTAAAGTTTCCTTCCCTCGAGTATGTGCCCCCCCCCTCTCTCTCTCTCCTTTACAGGTCTGTGCACGTATAAAATCTACTCGCGAGTGTGATTTACCGCCGGGATACACACACCGGCGTCGTCGTCGTCGTCTTCGTCGTATAATTCAGTCGACGATATAGAGGCGTACGGTTCACGCGCCACCTTCTCTGGCTTCTTCCCCTATTCCAAGACGATGTCGCGCACGAAACTTCCGAGGGTTCGCGCCGACGCTTGTACGCGAGTATCCGTTGTGTGCTTATTTGTCTCTATTTGATTTTCAAATGACGTGCACGCGGGGAATTAGATTGCGGAGCGATAATAAATAGCGAAAACAATTTAGATCATAAATTTTTCTTCTAAAGAGGGGAGAGAAGAAAAAGGCACGACTTGCACGAGGACAACGCGTTTATAGCAGGAAGCGTTTAATCCTAGGCATCAATCTCTCGCGGAGCTCGTCGCTCATATCAGACTAGCTCTGCCGCAGGAAGCTTATCGCTCATCTGTGCCTCTGATTCCACATGGCTGATACTCGCGCGCCACGAGCGAGAGTTACGTCAGCACTGTAAACCCCTTGAAGATGCTTTTCTCTCTGTCTTGAGCCTTGAGGGATTAATGTACGAACGCTAGGCTCGATAATACTTTTCTTTTTATGTTGTGGGACGTTAATTTGAATTTTGTTTATTTTTGGTCGAATAGCGTTCTGAATGTATTTGTGGAGCAGAATAGCATCAACTTAATTTTGCTACATCGGACGATGTACTTGCTAGCAGAAATATAATTCGTAATACAACGTCTTCAGTGCTTTAAAAGCAAACCTATTTGAAATCGTAATTTTTGAACAATTCGTTAGAAAATCTATGTGTAATCCTTGATGCAATTCCAAGGCAATTTTTTTGTGAGCGTACAACAAGGAAGAAAGGTCAAATCAAGCAACGATGTCAAAGTTTATCGTCGTGAATACAAAACAGTTCAAATTATGTCATGTAGAGGATTCACTGAAAAGTTTGCACGACGATCAACTGTATTTGAAAAAATATTTGCCTTGTTATTACAAGGATAGGCAGAAAACAAAATCTACAAACAAACGTTGCATGAATTAAAAAGTTTCGTCAGAATTCATACAAGCCTCATTCGATAATACGACAAAGGTAAGACTTTCTACACAAATCCTCGCGTAAATGTTGGCAGCCGTCGTCGTCCCGCAAAAAGGGGGGGGGGGGGAAGGCAATAACTCGCAAGAAAACAAAATAATCGTAATTAAGCTGCCTTGCGCGAATGAAGGATAAAACCAACATCTGAATCGCGCGCGCGCCTTTCACTTCTCAAAGGCAAACGAGCCCACCTCCTCCACCATCGTACGCGATGATGATGGATTAGCGACGATAGCTAATGAACGCAACTCTCTCGCAAGTGGAACACACCTGTCGGAGGTGTCGCTCACGATTGATTGCTCGCGAAGCTCGTGTATTATTTCATTGTCACGATAATTACGATGAAAAATCGTCGCTTAAGTAGCTCCGACAATTTGCACGAACGAACGTTCATTGATTGCACGGTTATTTATGCGTGAAATATTATTTGCACTCTCGAGAGAGAGATAGACGACAAAGCTTGACGGATTTCCCGTTCAGTTAAACCAATTTTCGCATACGGGTGATTGAAAAGTACGGCCCCCGCAATTATGTGCACCGCGAATGCAAATCGTAGCCGGCTTTTACTCTCTCTCTCTCTTGAGCGAACGAGTACCAGTACGGAGCATTGAGCTTTGTAGTGGGTACTCGGTGAATTGTGCGCAGCAGTCAGTACGAACTCGTGACAGCGCTGATGCTCTCTTGTTGATTATTGTTTTCGGTGAACGTTGTATATTCCAGCGGTAGAGCTTCCGACTGACCGCTGTATGTTTCTCATTGCCCAGTGCACAAATGCGCGTACAACGAAGCGCGTATGAAAAGCAGCTTTTTAATCAATCAAAACAATCCGCATCCCTGGACCCGAAATACTCACGCGGTACGCTCACCTCACCCCCCGACAAATTCGACTATATCCACTCCGAGAAAGACGAGTTTCACTCGCTCTCCATCTACACAATACCCACATCAACGAAACCTCTCCATTTTTGCCTTCCGGCTTTTCATCCTTATCGTCGCGCTTCACTCTCTCGCTCTACGAAAGAGGGGAGTCTCTCTCTCTCCCTTTGAAAAGTTTCAAGTACCTTTTACCTTGCGGGCATGTTCAAGCCCACTATTTTTTTTTCGTCCATATATCCTTACGCACTGTTTGTTAACAAAAATTTAATTGCAAATCCAGAAAGATCGTTATCGCGTGATAAATTAAGCGAACGTCAGTCAACGACGTTACGTGCCGAGAGAGATAATTTGCCTTATCGGAAGGAAGCTGCGCACTGGCGAAAGGGAAAACGCTTTTATATATACGCAATATACGTACAAACTCTTATGGAGCTCGAGAGCAGCCCGTTACGATCCCACGCCTCTCGGCTATCGTTTCATCGGACGAGATTGAATCTTGCCGCCGCGAGCTGCGCAGCTTTGCTCGACAGGATCAATGTTTGATTTTGCCGAATGTACGCGTGCCCGAGTGGTTTTTGCGTATGGACACTGCCGCGCCATTGCCGTGGTTGCTCTTTTCACCGGCATCATTGCGCGTCGATTCACTTTTCTCGTGCACTCGGGCTCGCGAGGTTAGTTTCCAGCACGAACAACACAAGTAGTCCGAGCTGTGATGTTTCACTCCTTTCTATCTCCCTCTCTCTAAGCGTCGAGCTGCCGTGCGTATACGGGCTTGAAAGGCACGCGCGTTTTGTTGTACTGGCGCTCGACTGTGTAAGCAGATTTTCCATGATACATTCCAAGCTCGCGAGCTTTCGATGAAAGGCCGGCCGGAGTCGACGCTCCCGTTTTCTTCAACGGGAGATCGGGACTAACACGCTCGGCTTGTTTTCCAGGTGATTCCGGCAGAGCGCCGAGCGATAACTGACAAGGAGAGCACGGAAACGTGGAGCTTGGCAGTCGAGCAGCAAGCCCCTGAGAGCAGTGATGTAAGCACGGCGAAAATCGCCGACGAGAAGCCGGAACTTGACGCAGACCAACCACCGATCAGTCGCGGCCACGAGACGCGCAAGAGCAAGAGCAAACGAGTGAAGAGTTATTTGAAGCGCTGCAAGGGTGCGCTGACGCGCGCCGAGGACGCGTCCTGCGAGAGGAAAAAGTCGATCGAACGACGGCAGCAGCAGGAGCAGCAGGAGCAGCAGCAGCAGCAGCAGCAGCAGCAGCAGCAGACGAGTTGCGCGTGGTACGTCGAGAGCAGAAAGGAGAGCGCGAAAACCGAGGAAGAAGAAGAAGACGAGGGAGAGCCTGTTTTCGAATTGTGTAAAGCGGCGGGTAGCAGAAATTCACTTTACGAAGATGCGCGCGAGGAGCTACGAACGAAAGCAGAGGAGGAGGAGGAGGAGGAGGAGAAGAGCGCTAAGGCGGGAGACGACGGAAGTTTGAATAAGTGCGACTCGAGCGACACTCTCATCGCACCTCAAGAAGCGAAAGACGACAGCGAGGAGGACGCCGGACCTGCCACGCCTACCATCATACCTAACACCGTGGTAAGTGAAATCCAATTTCTCCTGCTGCGAGCACTGTTTGCTTGATACTCGCTCCACAGCATCGCCAAGCGAAACAGTAATTAGTTTTTGTGTGTTTTATTTATTTATCGAGGGAGCCCCGAAAGCTGTTCCAGCATCAGTCGTGCTCATTGGTGATATCGAACAGAACGATCTTATTCGCGACGACGCACTGAGCCACGCGCCTTCTTTCTTTCTCGTTGCCGGTGCATTAGAGTTATTTTGCGCGGATGTGTGTGCACGTGTGTGTCACGCTGGAAAGGTCTCTCTGGCGTTGCGCAATGTGTTTTGCACTCCGTAGGTGGTCCAGGCACGCGGATGATTGAAATTTAATTATCTGTAAACATTCGGTGCGTTGTGGGTGCGGGAAAATTGATTTTGCGTGAATTGGCGTTTGATTGTCGGCGCGCGCTCGTGTAACGCCAGTTCTCACGCGCGTAAAATTCGATTTTTAAGGCAACGCTCGCGAGCGAAGCGTTTGGCTTCGCAACGCGGGATCGCTTTGTGCGCGTGCATTGGCGAGGAATTATCGAGAAGAAACACGACGGAATGAAATTTGATCAGATCCGACACCACTTGCGCGCGTATACGTTCTGAAAGCCATCAAGAGCCGTGAAGCTTTGGCGAATTGCCGCGTGGCGGTGAATGCTCGTTTGCTCGATTCCGAAGTCCAAGTGAAAATCTTCTCGGAAAGCATTTACATTTCGATGCTACATTGATGCTTTCGTTAAAAACGATCCGCCCTTCGTCGAGTGCCGATAAGTATTAATTTGTTTAACAATTTACCCACGTCGTTATTATCGCTATTATTCTCGCAGATTATTATCGCACATTGATCTGTGTAAACGTAACGAAGCACTTTCGACACAGTTTCGCGAAGCAACAATTTAAATTGGCTGAATTTGTCGGAGCCACGTTAGAGCGAGGAGCCTCGTAATGTTGAGGTTTAGGCTACTATGCAGCTCGGAAAAGGGCTTATATGTACACTCAGAAAAGGATGTAAGTGGCAGTCGTTTTATCCTTACAGCGCTCTCACCGCAAGTAGCAATCGCTCGGGCGCCTGCATAAGCCATTCATCCTTGAAAATCGACACCCGTAATTACCTGTACTACACGTACATACACACACATGCTTACCCATTAATTTCTTCCGAGGTGAGGACGAGGGGGAGGCATCATCATTGTGTTGCGCTCTGGCGCGGTTTGCTCTCCGACTCATTAGAATAATAGCTCTCGAGCGACAGTTATTTATCGCGGCAGACAGCCGCGTAAATCTTGGCGGGCGATCGTGAAAGCGGAAAAACGATCGCCAAGTTCAAAGTCGTACGGCCGCGCGCGCGCGCACATGTGTCTCTCTGGCTTTGGCTTAAGCAGAGCGAAAGTGTTTTTGCGCGCTTATGGTTTTGCCTATTCAGCGTGCAAACGCCGATTATAACGTGGTGAGAGTTTGGCGAGGTGTTATTTGAAAGTTCTCAGTTGCGCAACGGTAATTGGCTATCAAACGTCATTCCCGCCACCACTCTGTTATCCTTCTTTATTCAACAGCCTCGTTATTGCGCGGCTGATAGTCCACGTAATTGTATTCGCCATCGAATAAGCGTTAGTCTGCTTGATGGCGCGACGATGGGATGCGCGATCGAGGAATCAATCGACATTGAATATCTTTCTCTCTCGAGCATTGCGCTTTTTAAACATTTCAATACGAGTCTTTCGACAAAAGCCCCGCGAATATTGAATAAAAGTACGACCGCGATATCCACCGGTAAGTAACGTCGTAACAATCAATCGACCAGCCATTTGGTTGATGGCGCTCTCAATCTCCTCGCGTGCGGCCGCGCCCGCGTTTACCCGACCATTCATCCCTTTCATCTTTTCTTTTCTTTCCCGTGCAAACTTTGCCAACGACTTCTAGAACTGACAATGTGAACCTCGAAAAAATTTGATTGCGCGATAACGATTTACCACCATTTTGCAGGCGCGAGGCCGAAAGAATACGCAGCGACAAATGAGTATCGTCGCATTCGTCGACGAGTGCAAAGCGTGTACAGTACAGCCAGGCGTGAAACTCAAATGGGCGCTCCCACGCGCGGATGCACACTGCGCGTTCGTGGATTTACGGCGATCAGCGGTGCGGCGTAACGTCGAGAGCGCGAGCCGTAAGTCATACGCGTATCGCGTAAAAAAGTCCGGCCAGGCTGACGAGCTATCGATGCGCATTGCCGAGCCGATGCCGCGACTCGACGTTGCTCGCGTGCGACGGCCTCGCCCTTTCGAGGCGACGACGCGGGAGAAAGCGTCCGCGGTCTGACCGGATCGCGCTTTTGCTACTTGCGGGCGTTTTCACGCCGAGGAAATTGCGCGTTGCGCTAGTCGCGTGGTGTCGCTGCGAACGCGACCTAACAGAACCGGGGAACGTGTCGCGCGGCGCGCAATTGATTAAGCGTCCGATCGCCGAAAACACCTGAGCAGCGCGCTTTTATTGTCCATCAAGACCGTCGGAACGGTTGCAAGGCTACGCGCATTGTGCGCTCGCGCGAGATGCGCGAAATTGGCGACTCGGCGCGAAAATATGTGCGTGCAATCACTTCCGCGAGATACACGCTGCCCGAGTCGCGTCGTAAACAACGAGACTTTATACGAACAATATCGCAATGATGTGCGCATAGATAGACCGGCGATCGTTAGCCTCGCAAGCACGATCGTAAAACGTTATAGAGCATCTGCGCCGCAAGACGACGACTTATAAACAATTCGCCTATTGGTTTCCCATAAATCCACCTAATGCCTTGGCCTTTGCAATTCACCGTAGATACATCGTAACGAGCATGCATTTTTTGACGTCAATTAACCTCGCGTCTATTTCTTTTTTCTTTTTCCATTCGCGGAGGAGATATCGTGCGAATACGTACATCCGTCCGACGGATGATTTGTCGCCGGCTCGTGACTCTCACTTTCGCGTCGCGCGCGCGTCCTCGTGTCTTTTCCAGACGATTGTCGGCGCGAGAGAGGTCGAAGGACTTTGCGCGATAGACCTTCGCAGTACGTATCTCCGTCGCTGTTCAATTGTCGAAGCAGCTTGGAAAGTAGCGATATCCTCTCGGTTACAGCAGCTTTTTTTCTTCCCCAATTTTAATGTCAGTCAAACGAATAATGAGGATTCCCATGATCTTTCGCGTCTCGTTACTCCGCCAGAGATATCAGTACTCATTAAAACGTTTGCGGATATCTCGGCTGATAATCCGGCGACGGTAGCCACCGGCGGGGCAATCGATAGACAACGGCCGCGCGCATAACTTCATTAAGCTTTCGGCAGTATACAGACGTGATTTACTTGACAGCTTTCAACGACCTTTTTTCCTGTTCTCGTTGTTGTCGTTTACGTAACAAAATCTCGCGCCTCGAGGCTTGCTTCGTAGTAGTAATACAGTCATTACGTGCCCTCTAAGTGGTGTATTACTGGCACCCTGTAAATCAACTTTCTCTTTGTTATTATTGCCTGACTGGTCTTTCTTGCATCGATTCGCGGAGAGAAAGAGGGAGAGAGAGAGGGAGAGAGAGACAGACAGACAGACAGACAGACAGACAGATAGACAGACAGAGAGGTACAGAGAGATGAGTGATGAATGCATAAAACTCGATAATTGAAATGCGACGGTTACAAGCGAGGTCTCCTGCTTGTAACCGCGTAACAAATGGCTCAGTTTCCCACAAGTTCAAGCTCATTACATGCACGACCAAGCAACGATGAGCATCACTCGTGATGAGAGTGTTTTGCAGCGACTCTCTTCATTTGTCATTTTGTCGAGTGGTTTTTGCATTCGTGACGACCACTTTTGCCCTTTTCCACGGAGAAAGTCGCGGCGATTAAAAATCGCGTGCTGCGAGAGAAATTTCCTAGCGCAACGACGATAATAACGCCAAGCTCGAGCATTGACAATCCTCGCGTTGGATTCTTTTCGGGAGAGCCCGACGAAGAAAGAAAGCGAATTTTGCTGCCGCTCGGCGACTCGAGAAAATGCTCAAAGGGCCGAGGGCAGCGTGTACGAGACGAGGGACGGCAAAAAATAAACCGCTAGACGTTTTTCATCGCCAACGGGTTTTACGAGGCTGAGCTTTTGAGGTGAACGTGAGATCCCTTGCGCGAGGCGGAATGTCGATTAGTAAAGGATCCTTTGACGTCCGAACGAACGGACAAGCTTGCGGCACACTAGCCGACCGTAAATATATTTGGCGCCGAGTCGTTGGCTAAAACAATGGCCTGGCAAACGCGACAAACGATTCCGCAATACGTCACGCAGAAGTTGAAATAAAAGCAGTGCGAGTGAATTTCGCGCGAAATAAAGTAAAGAGGAAAAGAAAGAAACAAGATGGTAATGCGACACCGTGGTCCACTCGCGGGGCCTTACATGCGCACTGGAGCCAATGCAGGTTTATTGTGCGTCTCGCTTTCCAAATCGAGGAGAGCCTTCGCCGCCAAATTGAAAATTTTGCTTTCCTCTCCGCGGCACAGCGCACTTTTGTACTGTTCGATCGCGCCGCGCGTCGTTACATGCAAACGATATTCCCTCGCTGACCCGTTTACAATGGCGCGCGCTCGTAAATACAGTCGTAAAATCGAATTTCTCGTTTGCCTCACTTCTTTCGCCGAGGTGTTCTGGCTACCCGGCCGATCATTCAATGTTAATTTAATAACGCTCGACGAGACTATCGCAGCCTCGGCGGTTCGTTAGAACGCGCGCGCATCCCGCTCCGACCGCGCAATTACGAAAAATAAAGCGGAGCCCTGTCAATCGGCCGAGCTTGGGCACGACTTTGCATTATGTAAAGCGACAAGCAATTAAGAAGGTCCTCTAACGCTACGCTTTCGTTTATCAACCTGGTCGGATCGCTGCCGAGGCCGCCTGTACGCTTCGCTCACTTTCTCATGCACCCATGTATTTACGTTTTTCTCTGTTTTTTCTTTTTCATTTTTCTTAAGGGGCT